CACTCCGACCTACGAGTTGTCTAAATATTTCGCAATGGTGTTAGGCCCAATAAGAAATCGCTCAAAGTCTCGACCTACCAATTCTTATGACTTAAAGCATACATTAGACAACAGTGAAAAAATGGTTAGTTTTGACATAACTAGCCTTTACACAAATATACCGATCGGCATAACTCTAGAGGCAGTTAGAAATGGGCTTAAAGATGACAAAGAACTTACGCATCGAACTAAGGTGCGGATCGAGGAAATCATATTAGGCGTATGATTTTGCCTAGCATCTACAGTTTTAAAGTTTCAAAATAAAGTATACAAACAAACTGAAGGTGTTGCCATGGGATCACCAGTATCCCCTATCGTCGCAGACATATTTATGGATAGTTGGGAACAGGTGGCCCTTCAAACATTTAGTTCTACTCCAAAGATATGGTTCCGATATGTAGATGATACGTTTACAGTACTGAAATTGGAACACACTACCAGGTTCTTGGCACATATAAATTCAGTAGTGAATGTAATCCAAGTTATCTGTGACGTAGAAAGTGAAGAAGGTGAGCTAGCAATGTTGGATTGCAAGATTAAACGAACACAAGAAGGAAATCTAGAGACTAGCGTCTATAGGAAACCTCCCCATTCGAATAGCTACTTGAACTTCTAATCCTCCCACCTCATTTCAGTTAAAGTAGGCTTAGTTAAATGCTTAAGTAATAGGGCGAAAAAGCACACTAGTAGATCAGAAAATCTGCGACAAGAAATTAGACACATCAAGAAGGCCCTGCGTCTCAGTAATTACCCACCAAAATTTATAAATAAGTTCAAAAGAAATCGAAAGAAAAATACTAGCAGTGGTAGTGGTAGTAGTAGTAGTAGTAACACAGGTGTTATTAATAATAATTTCACTACTAATGGCAATAATGGTGACAGGGTTAAGAGAGAATTCAAAGCCTCTGCTGTATTACCTTACAAAAAAGGCACCTCAGAAGCATTACAAAAAATTCTCAATAAGGCTGGGATTAAAGTGGCATTTAAGCCAACAAACTTGCTTAGAAACAAGCTTTGTAGGTTAAAAGATCCTATCTATGCAATTGAACGGAATAATCTGGTTTACCAGATCCCTTGCAATGATTGTGAGGTCAAGTACATAGGTCAAAGCAGTCAACCAGGGTTGATAAGAATAACAACACAAAAACTTAGCTAAATCAAGATTAGTAAATCCCAATCAGATAAGAAATCTAAAGAAAAGCTCGGCTATAGCTCTGCATGCTATGACGCACAACCACACAGTAGGGTGGGATAGGGCGACAGTGTTGAAAACCAACTTGGTTGATTGGAGAGAGAGATTGATAACCGAATCCTTGTTTATCGAATCAACACCAAATACATGCAATCGAAATGATTCTGCATCTGTCCCAGATATACGGAAAATTCTACTACCCTTGTCATCACAGAGAAGGAGAGAAAGTCAGGAATATATAAAGTCTCTCTCGAAGTTGTGGAGTTACCTGATATGAATATGGACGAAAAATTGTGTCCGAAACGTTATCCAGTAAGTGCTACTGTTTCACTTTGTGATATTTCTGAATGGAGAGATTAAACAACATTCACCTAGAAATAATTATGAGCAGTAATCTATTCTGGAAACAACATCTAGTCAATAATGCTGATTAAAGAGATTCGCTTTAGAATTAGGCTGTACTACAGCGCGCAAACTGAACTCTAATGCTAGGATCCTCTTTGTTGTTTGATACCTTTTTAATTTGATATACATAGCATTTGCGGCAGACAGATGATATGAATATGATTCTTTGGTTATCTATGTTGTTATTCGTTCACTGTACACACTTCTCTCCTATCAATATGCATAACTCAAATGTGAAAATTATCGTTGTTTCGGATTGCTTTTATTCAGTGTGTTACTTTAAGGAAAGGTGGGGCTAGTTGTTTATGAATAAACTGTGCAGTTTCAAAACGTAGTATACAGTAAATGAATTATAAATATACGTTGATGAAAACAATGCCTGTGACCTCATGTTCCAATAACTAAGAGGAAGCTTGAATCCACACACAGTCCAATCGTTTCAGTAAGTTTTTCATCCTCGATGAACATGGAAAAAATACGAACGTTAAACTAGAATTAATATTTTTCGTACATCATTTGCTTTTTTTACAAATGAACCCAGGTTACAAAGGAATGTACAATACATTTGCAGTACAACAAACCGATCAAACCTCAGTATGAGGATATAAACACATTTCTCCTAGATTATGAAGAGCAAGAACGTCTAATTCCAGGTTAGTTCATGTAACAACTCACCACATTCAATGATCAGAAAGCAAATGAGATGACAAACAGAAAAGCGTAAACAGTATCGATTCAGAAATTATGTGTGACAGCAAGTTGCAATTGCTGTTTGAGGTTGAGAATAAAGGTAGCTGAACAAAAGAATGGAATACTATCCCATCAGAAGTGACGTGTTAAATGAGACATGACTATAAAGAGATAAAACAGATGATAGATGTTTCATATCGACTTAGACGAAGATAAAGCCTGAATGCATTTCAAAAAATGAGAACAGTTTTGAGCCATACCATCTAAATTCCCAATCATTAGTTGTTATTTTATCATGGACGCCGAATGAAAAGCTTTCATTTCACTACTTAGCTCAGCACAACAGTTATAGACTCAATAATTTACACTATTCCCTTTTTCGGCCGAATTCTAGGTCATTCTTTTGTAACTGTGTCCATTAATTAGCTTCACTCCAGCTGAACAGAGAGACATAATGAAATGACGGAGAATACTTGTAGGATTTTGGTCGTATGTTTTGTGAGCTGGATATTTTAGTCACAAGGCTTTTATGTCATCCTGGACAACGTCAACAGTACAAACTTCTTGCTGAAGCTTAAACGATTATAACCAAAGTTATGTACTCAGAAAGAAACATTTCTCAGTCTGTGCCTACCATGGTAAAGACTTTTGTTTTGTTGACTATCATCCTGCTTTTTTTACATTTCACTGTCGATCTATACAATTCGGGCTTTTTTGCTTTGTTTAACAATTCACACCCTTGACCTGATTATCTGAATTCTATTCACATTAGCTCATAGTTAAATTGTATGACCTTTCACGCATTGCATGCAGCCCTTCTTAATATACTGAATATGCTTGTCTCCACCACTTATCCAATTTCCGCTCTAAAATATTCGTCTAATCCGTCTATATACTGGCAAACGTTGTTCCCCAGGTTAGTTCTGCGTATTAATTCACTAAATTCATGTGTTTTCAGTTGCTTCATACTGACGTCATCTTTAATTGAAGCCGACAATCAAATCCATTCAAGTATGCAAACACATGTAAATTTGTGTTAAAGGTTGTTTTAGGTTGCAAGCAGCTGATGAGAAGCCACGAAATAAATGGATCCATGCTGTTCTGCTAAAGTTGTTTTTGTCCCTCTGTTTAAATTTGTGAATGGAAAGAATTGTGTGGAATGGATTTACAATTTAAGACAGAGATTTATGCCACGCTTATCTGGTAACTTTAGGTTTGAAAGTCCTGCGACTGTCCAGTGTGCGGCTGAAACCACTTTTCAGTTCGAGGTTTATAAGGACAGACTGATCAATATGGTGTTTCTTACCACGTGATGTTAGCTTGGAAACCATGGAAAGAACGATCAATAAATCTGAATTGCCAGAATAACTCTACTTAGTCAAGGTATCTAGGCTACATGCATTAGAATGTCATTTCTTAAATCTACATATCGGAAACTTCGTTGTTTTAAGCTTTTAACATTTATTCCACTATGACAGCATTTGATGAGTGGCTATTGGTAACCGGTCAAAGCAATTACTTTCCGAGCCGAAAAGTGCATATCTTTCTCTAGTTAAACTTCGAATTTTGGGGATTGAATCTGGTCCAAATTGCAGGTATGTTCTGTGTTTGAAACATCTGAGGTTTACTTAATCGTAGCAGTTATATACATTTTACACAGCAATTGAAGTAATTTTCTTTCTTATATAGTCAGAAAAAAAGAAGGCTTGGAATAATACTCAGTTTCCAATGGATTTTCAAGTTATAAGCCACTGACTTTAAAGTTATAATACCGTTAGCAGATCATAATCACACTGCATCTTGTTTGCTTCATTGAATTGTCTACCACTGAAGCTATTCAAGTTTAAAAGTCAAAAATAGGATAAACATTTCATGTATTGTAGTTTGAATGCAAACTTTGCTTTATGCAAGATGATCACTTTGATAACCACTAAAATACATGCAGTTATCATAACAGTCGAACTAAGGGGATCAGATTTATACCAGTTATCGGTTGCTTACTAATCTTAAGTAAATACTTCTAATTGGTTACTCCCTCTTGGGTCAATAGTTGCCAGAAATTCACTTTTTTCAACTTAAAGTCACTTCATTAAATGTGTCAATGAAAAACTTATCAACTACTTCTAAACAACACTTATATTTTATTTTAAAAACATTAGATCCAACACTTTTTTTATTTTCTATCTTCCGACTTGCAGAACCAGATGTAAACTTAAACAGATAGCATTTGAAATAAATTTTTGCTAATTTTACAGTATATTTTTCAATTCACTATGAACATAAATTGTTAAGAAAAATATCCATAATTATTTAATTAATAACTAATATTAGCATCTGATTTTGTAGAAGCGAAATAATGATACATTTCAAGGTACAAGCCTAAATGAGATTTACAATGAGTATTCATTTGCACTTAGTTTTCTGTTTGGCTTCAAAATGAGTTGCAGCGTCAAGATATTAAGAGGAGAAACAAATTACTGGTGTTATCTTATGAAACAGTTTAGTCAGTTTTCTTTGAAAGTAAAGGATGTTTTAGTCTAATGAGAATAAATTACATAGGTATTCTGGAATACCTGTCACTTTTTTAATAAAAGCTTCAAATACCTTCGCAGCAAAAACATTACAGTATGATTTGAAATTATACGAGTTAAAAGCTTACAACATTAAAACTTACTTGCTGGCCAGTTTGTTCTTTTCACGCTTTGCTTGTTCAACAATCTTTGAGTTTGAAACGCATTCAGAAAGACCCTGAATTACCTTTAAATTCGTATTCACATTTGCTCGCTCAAGTGTTACCATTGCTCCATGAGAAATTAATTCACCTTGAGCTGTAATATGCCTATTCAAATGGGCAAGTTCTTCTCCCATAGAACGTAACCGCATTAAATTTGGAGTCACATCATTCCCATCACCTCGACGCAGTTTTGAACAGTGAACTAAATCAAATCTTCTTTGCACAGGGTCTTCAAAGACAACAAGTGGATATCCTGGTAATGATAACGGGGATATGGGGTAATGTATTACTGGTTGAGTAACAAAAGAAGATGTGCTCAAGGACATAAAATCGTCTTGATAAATGCTAGGAGCACCTTTGTTTACACCTCTTTCTTGATTATTTTCGTAAAGATTGTTTTCAGTCACGGCACTTGTTAGGTTCAGTAATGGTGACGCTTTTGGTCCTTTGCACTGCGAATTATACAGCCAAAAGTAAGCCCCACCTGATAAATTCAGACCATTATTAATTGACAGATCTGTCCCAGAACCTTAACAAGTAATCAAGAACGTATATAAAATGTAATAATCTGTACATAGAATCAAAGTATGATTTCGAAAGTTTCCTGAATAAAGTGAAAACCTAATTTCATTTAACTCATCAATAGTATAATTTTCATTCGTATATTATCAGCATAGACACTACCTTTTTCTGTGGATTACTTTCGAATCATGTTTTGTATTTCTAAGTTATTTTCCAATTAACTTTAACTTTTTGTGGTGTTTTTAAGCGCATAGTTCATTATTTCAGTTATCGTCAAATAAATCGTTGGAACCTGATCTCAAGTCATATTTGTAAATCACTTGAACAACAGACATGAAATTTCGGTATTTTAATCATCATCCAAAATTAAGTAGCAATAGTGTAAAGGAATGCACGGTTGTAAAGAAACAGGTACGTTTTCTATAATGTTTGTCATGCAAAAGTGTTACACTGCAGTGATTATATATTTCTAAGATTTGTCTGACACTGTTTCTTCCATTTAAAACTATTCTAATAATTTTTCAGAAATAAAGATTGGTAATATTTAATTATTTATCGCATGAATACTCTACCACTCTAATATATTTGCAAACTCCTAACTGATTAATCACGTTTAAGACAGTGGGACCAAAAACGTTGCTAGAACAAGTGAAAAGAGTTGCAGCTGATTGACTGAATATGAAGCGTGAACACTAAGCGGAATCATCAAAGTGATTCCAATTTCTAGTCATTCTCTATTACATCTTCACTAGGAAGAGTAAATATATTTAATAATTCATCTGTTTGACACCTTTTAGAATACTTTTACCCGCTTGAAATGTTTTTCTACTTCAGCTGACAGAAATTTCTCAAATCAACATCACTTTTATGTGAAGCAAGTAAATTGGATAAAATCAATAAGATTATGAAAACTAAAAGGTTAATAGTAGAAAGTGGATAGCAATGGAATCTAAGACTCGCATTTCTTCCTATTTAGGATTTTATTATGGATGTACCCACCTCTAAGTGAGTAATGTTGTTCTCGATAGGACTCGAAATCAGGGCCGACTGCTCGAAGAGCTAGAATGTTATCCACCAGACCAACGAGTCACAATAGCCACTTTTTGTGTAATGGATACAGTTTTAATGTAGTTGCTTGTAACGTCACGTCGCCAAGTGAACCAAGTTGAACAGTCCCTTCTGGCATATGGGCTCATACGTGGATGTCTTGACATTGGTTTTGTTTGAATTACTTCTTACCATGCCAATGGAAACCAATTATTTCGGTCCACTCAGCGACGAGATAATACAAGCAACAACATTAAAACTAAATGTTAGTCAGAAACAAAGCAATCATCAGTTCTGAGAATCTAAAGATAAATGGACCAGAAAACCTTTTTGGTATGACACAATCACCAGGGTGTAACTCACTAACGCAATAATAAAGCTTGTGCATCACTGTGGAATACATTTCCATATAAGACTGTTTATGTGATGCAATAAACAATGATACAGTAATATTTACTAAAGGGCGTTCCGAGCAGAATTTATTGGTCATATACATATGATGCTTATTGATATGAATATGAACAATAAATTGTAGTCATAACGTCATTCAGTAAATGGTACTGTATCACTTTCGGCGATATCAAGTAGACAATTTAATATGGAAGAATGATACTCATTTTATGTACCATCATGTTGTTCATATTAACTATATTTTGATTCACTCGATAGACAATTCCACATATATTTAATCACGGTAGTTCATTAGTATAGAAATTTGTGAAAGACGGGAATGGGAACAGATAGAAACTGTGAAGTAATGTTTTCTAGCTTACGCATGTTAACAACTAGTTATGATAGCTAGAAAAAGTGTTTCATCCTATTTAGGACACATAACCTCAGTAGTTTTATTTCTTTAAGTTTTCTTTTAGTACGGGTTCATTTTACCTGTGTAAAGTTCCGTAAAAAGATTCCAGATTATAAGAAGTGGGGTCTTGGAAATTGAAAATGTGAACTACAGCATATAAATCATCATTGTATGAACACACATATTAAGGTTTTCTGTTTTAGATTTTATGGTCGAATAAGCCTACAGTTGGGTCATTAGCTTTGAATATAGTGGTGCTAGCTAATGAATAACAGCTGAGTGAAATGATTTAGATTTTAGGCTACAGTTAATTTTACCTACAATACACTACTTCTTGTAGTCATTATAATTAGTCGCAACTTCATAGAAATGTGAGCAGAAATAAATATATTTGTATGTTTCTTAAACTGGTTTAACTGTACATTTTTGCTACAATCGTCAAGGAAATAAACATCAGTTTGTCGATACACTAGGTTGTTCTTCCTCATTTTCGGATTTATAGTACAAAAATAGCATTTTGCACTCATTCGGTGTCTTTTTTCTCATGTTTATACTACATGGTAATGTTTAGTGACAAATTATTTCATAAGGTCTGAGTAATATGCTAAACAATACGATACACACTAAAAATAATACAGTACTTAAAAAAATTCCTTATGTAACAAACTTGTAGTTTTATTCAAAGTAAACTAATAGAGATTAGGTGTACAATACGCAACAACACAGGTGCATTAAACTATGAGAAAACACCGTTAGTTGTCATCATGGAATAACTTTTTAATTTTAGCATACAGAATCGTGTGTATACTTTCGCTGACAGCTCATGAGATTATAATGTGATATAAATTAGTTTACACATAAACAAACAAATGGATACATTGAATTAAGAGTACATCCTGATTACCTACCTACTTCCTAGATGAAAAACTGACGAAAAAGTATCTGAATTTCCAAGACTGAATAATAAAGTCATTTTTTCAATAAAAAATGTTTTAACATATCTAATTATTCATGAGAGTTTAATAGCATTATCATTGTAGTAAATCTTTTCAGAAACCAACTTTAAATTTTCTTTGCATCTTCCAATGCAATGAAATGAAGTTAATCCTAATTTCAGCTTTGTACGCGCACTTATTCTAAAAACAAAGAGATAACTTCAACAGAACAAGTTCCTTTTAAAGTTTTCTGATGTATTCAGTAGTTCATCTAAAAAGCTATATAGAATTGCTTTTAGAAAAACTTGCATATCGATAGCTGTGTGGATTTCATCCCACTGAGCTGTAAAGTGAGATATCCTTAACGAGATCAGTAGTTGTATAAGAAGAACAGATATTGTGAATCAATATTTAATCCATTTAGAACTGAATTCATAATTATATCATGCAAAGTAACTCAGGTAGATGAACTAAATATTTAAGATGCCTACAAATATCTCAAGTACTTGAATTACTATGAAAGGAATAATTATTATATCTAACGTTGGAATAATATTTTTTGCAAAATGCTTACATTTCCTATTTCATGTAATAAACACTTAATAGTGTTGTACGCCAACTTAGTTGTTAAAATTTGGATTAAAAGCGAATCATTATTAAAATGCAATGAGTAAAACTATTGAATAAGTGTTTGTCTGAAAGTTTCACTGAAAGTTAGCGTATATGATTTGTTATTCTTGAAATAGCCATTTGAAGTGAAGAAACTATCGTTGGACTGTATGAAATGGTTAAATACACTAAAATATTCACATCAGAATCAGGGATATGGAAATTCATGAGGTAACTGTACGTATTCATGACATGTATTCATAAGAGAAAATTTTAAATGCGTTGTTAAATCATACTTGGAAGGAGTAGCTATTTTGCACTTTGACTAAGAGATATGATTAGGATTTGAATTTCGCTTTGTTGAGATGTAGTTGAAATCCTTTCAACTGAGGAACCATGGTAGTAAAAATAAAGCTGTGAAAACGTTTTAGGGAGGCTGTGTATCCTGAAGGATATCTTCGTAAACGAAGCTTAAGTTTGACATCAGAGTAAAACTTGGGGATCAAGACAACATGTTACTACGCACTGGGTTTATCAACTTAATACAGCACACAGTCATACAACTATATTTAATGAATGAAATTTAGAGTGTGACCGTAACTCGTCACCACGTTAAATTACATCCTTCAAGGTGATAGGGCAAAATGTTGATCTGCATATTTGAAACAATTAGTCCCTTTTATGAATTTGGATAATGTAGTTAGAAGGCGTAGATTATCTGAAAAATATGATGTATTAGCGTTATACATTTCGAACAGTCCGATCACACATTTACTTGTTAAGGCATTATATATGAAAACTGGAAGTGGGAGAAGGACACATGTGACATAAAGGAATTCAATAATAAGAAAGATAATTTCATGTTAAGGCTTGTCTTCAAGTGGATCTTGAAAATACCTTGGTGGTACTGCACTCAACACTCACTACCTCCATACTTATTATAGAAAGTCAAATCCAATTGCTCTCTTCTGCAATACACTATTTTCTTGTGATTTCTTCCAACCAACAAAGATCAATCAAAGTGCACAACAATTTGGATAATGTAATTAGAAGACGTAGATTATCTGAAAAATGTGATGACTGATGGATGAATAATTTTACATTAGAGACAAGTTCTTCTACCGACTAATTTGCACCGTTCAGTTGTTGTGGACACTGTTTTGTGATTGCCTAGAAAAGTTCTGAGATCTTTTAAAAACCCTTCGTTGCAAATGCCTAAAAACTCAATGGCACTGATATACTAAAGAAATGGGACTCCATTTTATGTTGTGCAAAGTAATCTGTCTCTTCAGAAGCGAGTTGTGGCCAATTCAATGTACTGCCAAGAACTTATTAGTGTCTAGACTATTTAAATTGTTCGTAACATCGTTGCGGTGAATATTGAAACTTGTTTTAGAAAAGGCGTAGTGAAAATGTCAAAAACCTTTTTGTCAAGGTTATATTGAATGAAGAATAATGTCTTTCTGAACATAGTGCAGTTATATAGGCTGTTTTAGGTAATCTTTCATTCTCCTTTGATGCCAGATTTCGGTTTCTTTTCTGAAGTTGGCCACCTGCATAAACTACCATGTTTACTTCATTGATGTGTCTCAGAATCACCAATGATGGTGC